GTACGAATTAATCCGAATATATTTTTTTTCAGAAATCCTGTACAAAAAGCCTTACAAAATCCGTCATATCAGACAGAAATGATGCGTATAAACGAAAGAGCTCTAGAGGAAGATACCGGAAAGAGCATGTACAGTGAAATAAATGACGTAAGAGTACACAAAGGAATTCATCTACACACATACATGTACATCCACATAACCCTCTCTAACAGTGTAAATATTCTCTAAATAATGATTATATTAATGTAAAATTTCGACTGTGATTGTTAAAACCCTAGTGGACTTTAGTGAGGAGTCATTGGGAACTAATACATCTTTGCAAAATACAAAGATACATTGAGTCATGTTCAATTACCTTGTCAACGAAAAAAAAAACGAGTGATTAGGCCTATATCAAATGCTTAAAGTCACATAGTTTTATGAGATTACCATACATGTAATAGGTATTCAGATGCATTACTTAAGTGTTATGCATGTTTAGTTCACTTAAAAATTAAACCTCTTAAATAAAAAATCAGTAAAAGAAACCCACACAGGTCGTATTCTTTATCTTTTCACATTCGTATCTTTTTCAGGAAAAGTCTATCAAAGAATCTCGGGTATCCCCTATTTGGAAGAATGGAAATATTCATGAGAATAAAGATGGTGTATACAACACGTTGAATGAAGCAAACACTATGGACAGAAGTGAGTACTACGATCACACCAGACCAGGAGCCTCGTTTTCAACACCGGCTGATGGATACGGGACTGTGACTTTGGAATACGATCAAGCCAGTATAGATGCCTCAGTATCGAAACCATCTGACGGATACGGGACTGTGACTTTGGAGAACGGTGGAAACGATACACATCCAAAGGATAAGTCTGTGGTTGAAAAGGATATAATATCTAGTCAAGAAGACAAAACAGATGAATACTTTGTGCTCGAAAAAATACAGTGAAGAAGCGTTATGAATTACTGATTTAACTTTACATCAGCTTATAATGTATGTAGTGCATTGATATGATAAAAATTGTTTAACCTACGGGTATTATGTTGTCAATGAATGTACGTGTAGTTTAAGTGAAATTGAATTTGGTGCTGTTTGAAAGATAATATAATTATACACTCACAATCAAAGAAGAAACACAACAACCTGATTTAGGGTGAAAATTATATACGGGACATAACTATGTACCAAAAAAGTTAAGGACATCTTTTACTTTGCCAAATCAGTTATTTAACGGTTGAATGATTTTCATTCCAATACCGGAAGTTGATTTTTAGCCCTCTTAACAGAAATCAAATTTGCATTTTTGATAAAATTTTTGACAATATTTTTGGTTTTCAAGATTTTGTCTCTGTTTATCATAAATATTGTATTAAAATCCCGGGGAAAATTCTTTTTTTTCGGATGTAGTACTTATGTTTCCTAAAAATGACTGATAGCAAGCATTGTCATTGCTAATGTTGAAAATTCTCAACAAAAAGAAAAAGGAGAGCTGCAGATGCAAGTATACACTTCACTCATCAGGTTCATGTGTTTCAAAAGCATGAACAACAGTTCTTTGACCGAAAGTCCAAGGGTTACTGCACTACGCCAAGTTAGAGAAAAATTCGACCTCAGTATCTGAAAAACAGGCATTTAAAAATGACGAAGAATATTTATTTCGCTCAGATAAAGACATTAATACACCTTATGCATTGTAGAAATCAGGCTGCATATGTTTAACATGGCAAACTAGCACATTTTAATTGAATATTCGGAAGGGGATGTTTAAAGAGTTATGTGTTACTTTCTAAAGTCTAAAAATAACATGTTACGTTTAAATGGAACATTATTTTTTACTTTTTACCTTACTGAATTCATTTTTAATGTTATTATTAAACCTTAAATAGATTGTTAGTATATTTTTCATTTAAATTTGCATCAAGAGTCACTCAGTTACTAAATGAAAGAACCATGTGGTTTACACAATATGCATATCATTGATTACTTCATAATACTGCTATTTGGACTTGCACTACATGCACGACAGAATTATAAATTGGTCTTATTTAATATATATGGAGCAATCAACTCGATAAATGATACCCCGCCTCCCATATGCCATTAGATAGTGGCGATGTTTTACAATGGGAGACCCAAAATATGTGTCAGATCAAAAAGTTTAATAGAAGATGCACAATAGCAATACAGGTATGTAAAAAAGAATCTGTGAAAGCATCATTAAATTTTTACAGTGTAATTGAAGTAGTCCTTTTAAGGATACACTTATATCGGGTATTAAACGCGTTTTCACGGATAAACGATGGGTACACTTCAATATTATAGAAAGAAATTACCACGTCCATGTAATGATCTGGGAAACCCAAAACATGCGTCTGATTTTAAAGAATTTAGAGAATCTTAGCGTTCAATATGTTGGCAATTTTTGAGACGCCAAGTTTGTAGTAAGTTAACGAGTATGCCTCGAAGCATTCCGTATACGAATGTACAATATCTAACAAAGCTCGTGCACTTGAACAGCCAGTTCGTCTTAGTATTCTCCAATAACCTTGCAACAAAAGTTAAAATAAAAAAAGGATACTTAATTCGTTTTATGACTTAAATTTTTGACATACAATACATTAGTGGCGTCATCTGGAATTAGATCACATAAAAAATATTAAGAAGGACTGGACTATTTTAAAAGTATATATTACAAGAGATAAATATAAAAAATATTACACATGGAATCATTATTACAGATTTTACTCACGTCTGCAAATTGCAAATCAACCAAATGCACTCTCGTATAAATTTCAGTAACGTTATGTTTTAGAAAAATTGTAGTCAGAAGTACAAAGGATATGGAAATTTCGAATGGTATTGAATATAAAAGTCCATAAAACAATACAAAATGGGAGCAGAGCAAACAAGGACCTCCAAAACATCACAGGGGTATCAGGTGCCATGGAGTAGTAAGCATCCCTTGCTAACCCGTCTCACCCACCGTGTCCTCCTTGTCATGATGGGGAAATAACGGACAAATCCATCGTCAATTCAGGGTATAAATAATCGACTAACAACAATTAGTTGAAAGACGTCAGTCAGAATTTGACTCAATGATAAATTGTATTGCTGACAAGGTCATAATATCGACCAAAGAACTCGCGAAATGATGACTTAAAACGAGACTGCTGATATTCTTGTTTCATCAACTTGCTTGTCAATAATTTACCTCGTTTTAGACTTTGTTCATACGTAGAGCATGCTCTTGCGTCTCAAATCAACCGATATATATAAACTCCTTATGCAGGTGATGAATGTATATTGCTGCATAACTAAGGGAAGTTGACGATAGAAAAAAGAAAGTCATCTCGTTTATCATAAAGCTTGGTTGTTTGATTACCATGAACGTCTTTTTTCAAGTAAAATATTAAAGTATAAAACAGAGTTGTCAGACTCTGTGGTATTTTTTTTTATGTCAAGCTCACCAGGATATATCGTATCGACATAGGAATAGAAATAACCATTGTTAATTGACAATACGTCGTTGATACATGTACATGTATATCTAAATGCCGAGTTAAAGGCCATAGCAAATGTTTTCTTTTCACGCATAAGACTTTGCAAAAATTCTGCTTCATATGAATACAAAAATAGGTCTGCTAATGACGAAGCACATTTGGTACCATATTCTATTTTATTTGATCGTTTTCATTGAATTTTTTTCACACTAAAGTACTTCAAGAACACAAATTTAAATTATGAGTAATTTATATTCATATTAAAGGAAATGAAAACGTTTTATAAAATTTTATTTCACATTTTGTTGGCACTCTTTAATCCATTCAGGAAAATTCAAGAAATCTAAATAAAGGGAAAATCCACATAACCATAAAAGTATTAGATGGTTCGAAAGAATCATAGAACACCTATTTAAACCATCAAAATACAACTATTATACAATCAAAAATTGAATGAAGAAAAAGAAAAGAGAGCGCTTCAAAATATTTCTGGATTTATTTAATACGTCCTATATGTTAGCTGCACAACTGTAGCCCTACTATGGGTGGCGGAAAGGGTAAAAAAGACGTTAATGCAAAACTAACAACTAATTTTATAAATATGATGAAATACAAAACAGACAACCTGAAAAACAAAATCAACAGACTCGTTTGCAAAATCAACAGACTCCGATGCGAAACCAACGATCACCAATGCAAAACCAACGATTATTCACTGAATTGTCGCTAGATGGCGTGCAAAAAACATACATTACCTGAATTAAAGCTAGATGGCGCGCAAGTTTTTCTACGTCATCATTATTTTTGTACTTTCATAGGAACGGAAATGGATCAGGTCAAAAGGCTGAAAAGTAGCACATAAAGGAAATTCGCATGCCTCCCTTTCAATGATAAAAATAAAAACATGCTCACATGTTTGTGAAACTTTCTGGGTATAGAATAAAAGTTTAATGTCAAAAGTTTACAATGATATGCATCACGGTGCATTTCAAGCATAAACTAGTGCTAATTGTAACGGGGACCGTTACAGATGTTCCCCAAACACTCCCCAACTCCCTTTTGGTGCCATATTCCCTGGAAGCTTCATTAAATAAGACAAACTCGATGCATTTGAGACTTAAAAACGTTTACCCAGAAGTGTACAAAGTTCATTCAAATTTTAGCATTGCACGCATGCGCATGTGAATGCATGTGCGTAATGACCATATAATCTTGTCTACACAATCTATATATTTTAATATACTTAATATTAAAGTATTGAATCCAAAAGTATTAAAAAGATACGCTCATTCAAGTGTTTTTTTGATTTTGCTCATTTCACGTGCACGCACGTGCATACATGAGCTTGGTGACCATACCTTCTTGTAGATGTCCGTTACATCTATCTATGTTCTAAATCCCACCCCGTTTGGTTGAAAACCAAGGGAGTTATAGCTGTTTAAAGTTTCAGCCAATCAGATTGCAGCGCACGTACATGAACGTGTATGCATGTGCATTGTGACCATATTTTCTTGTATTAGTCCAGTATATCTATCTATGTTCCAAATCCCATCCTGTTTGGTTGAAAATCAAGGGAGTTATAGCTATTTAAAGTTTAAGCCAATCAGATTGCAGCGCACGTGCATGCACGTGTTTTCATGATAATTGCTATGTATCATGTTGTAGGATATCCTAATGCATGGCTATTTTCAAAATTTCAAAGGATTTCGTCAGAAAACAAGAAAGATATTGAGACTTTAGTTTCAGCCAATCAGAGCAAAGCGCATGTGCATGCGCGTGAGATCTTGCTATTTTGACCATGTCATATTGTCTATGCTACTAATATATCCTTATATTATAAGTTTCAAAGCATTTCATCAAAAATTTAAAAAGTTACGCCTATATCAATTAAATCGGTCATTACACATGTTGCACGTGCACGCTCTTGCAAGCACGTGCGCGCAAAATGACCTTCGTTCCGCAAATCTACATAACATGTCTACTGACCCTAAAAACATTTCACCTTAGTCGGATGTATAGTTTACGAGATCATTCCCGGACAAAAAAGTACCCAGGAAGAAGAAGAAAAATAACTAGATGCGATCTCGTTGCGAGCAACAAGTAGGTCTTCCGTCCGAATTTTCGATAAGATGAGATATGACTTTGACTATGATCTTTGATAAAACATCATGGAATCATGCCTTTTCTCTTTTGATTAAATCCTTTTGATTTAGATAATATCATCAATGCGTACTTAATTTGCACATTAATTCTTTTCTTTTTTCTACTTTGAGAAACAACCAAAACCAATTAAAGAAGACTTGTAAGGAGACCTTGGATTATGAATGTAGTTTGACACAGAATTGCAACGAACCTACGACATGACAATCCAAGTATCCCTACACATTTCATTGCTCCTTATGATACTTTCGTTCAAGCAAACGCTCGGCTGCCTCTGTTAACCGTTATTGCGAAATGTTGGAATTGACAGAGACCGCCGCCCTTTTGTTCCCGCTTCAGATTTTTGAATGTTAATATCTCGAGTTTGAATTTATAAATTTACAAACGAATTATATATTCAGCCTAATAAGAAATGTTTCTATCAACTACACTAATATAATTTGAAAATATTGAAAAACAAAAAAGTTAAAGACGAGAGACTTTTGGCCCCTCTATGCCCCTAATTTGAAGGACTAACCCCGTTTACTTGATATCAAATGAAAGGTCTTACTATATTGCACATTTTTTATTATATATGTCTTAACAAAATATTAACAGGTAAAAAGATATAAAAGAAAACGTGTCTTTTTTGCGAGATAAGTATGAGGCTA